AAAAGGATGCTTTCAAAATAAGCCATTATTATGATAGCTAGTAGTTGGGCTAAATTCAGGTATCTGCCAGACAAAATCTGGTTGATGAGCCCTTTAGGAACATTAGACAATAAGCCTAAAAATATGCAGAGAGTTTAAGCATAGAAAATCATTCATACTTACTACATATTGTTTTTGCTGATTTTCATGTTTGCGTTCAAAATGTTTCTTCAAGTTTGATTTTGTGTTGAATTTCTGATCACAGCCACTAGCTGTACAACTGTAAGAAATTGCATAAATCAAAATATTAACAAACCGAGGGAAGAGAAGTTTTAAGATGTATACATCCTCCTCCTTTATAGAAGTACTGTCCAGGGGGCCTGGGTGGCTGTCGGTTGAGCGTCTGACTTCGGCTCAGGTCACGATCTCACGGTTCATGGGTTCGGGCCCCACGTCGGGCTCTGCGCCAACAGCTCGGAGCCTGGAGCCTCCCTTGGATTCTGTGTCTCCTTCTCCCCGCCCCCCCACTTGTGCTCGGTCTCTCTCTCAAAAATAAATAAACATTAAAAAAATTTAAAGAAACTACTGTCCAAAGTACAGTATAAAACAGACTTTAACCAACTCCAAAGCATTAAAGCTGAAGCGTCAGCCTCACTCTGACGGGATTACCAGGGAACGAGATGTGTCTTCACCCAGGCTTCTGAAACCAGGCACGTTCATCACACGTCCTTTATGAGCCGGGCACACAGAAGATGCAAAACATTACTTCCAAAACCCAAACCCTGCTCAGGCTTAGCTCCATGTTTAAGCGAAATTGTTTTTTAATTTAGAATCTCAAAACCTTCATTTTGCTTGAAATGTCAAAGTAAATTGCATTTCCAAAGGGGAAAAAAAAACCCTCAAAAACACTACTTTTAGCTTCTGTTCAGAGGTAGAAATGGGTATTTAGAGCAAAACCACCAACCATAATGCCCTCTGGCATATCACCAAGCCATCCTAGTTCCCCTTAATGAGTGTTTCTATATCTTGCCCTTGAATTACCCAAATTCTTTGTGAAGTTGTGTTTTAAACGTGTGCTCTTCTTGTGAGTCCTCAGCCTGAGGGACGAAGCAGGACTTCTATGACGGCCCTAATCTCAGCCATCACGGACCAGTAAACACGGGGTGACGCTGCCGGGCGCTGTGCCGTCTACAGGGGGCTGACCGTGAGCGGGGGCAGCGGGAGATCCCACTGGAAGCGTGCGGGAGGCTGCGGCAGAGAACACGACGGACACCAACGGGTGGTGGTTTTGACCCCAGGGACGGAAGGCTGACTTTTAGCTGGGTACACGGTCAACAGAAATAGAACTTTTTCCAGCCTGCCCTGCAATCAGGGGTGGCCACACGGCTGTTTCTGGCCCATCCGGCTCAACGACCACAAAGTGTCTAAAAGGGGGCACGCCTCTTTTGCGCCTTCGCCCATCCTGGTGGCCGGAACGCCTATGATGGCTGGAACTCCAAAGGTCATCTTGGACCGCGACGTCGAAGCCCCAAGATGAGGACGGCAGTGACAAGTTCCAAGGAGCCCAGGTCCTACTGACTGTGGAACACCCCCAGCTGTCCATGTCAGCGTTTCTGTTACACAAGAGAAACAGAGACGGTGTTGTTTGAGTCTCTGTTGTGCTGGGTTTTCTGTCACTCTTGACTTCAATCCTGACACAGGCATTTAACCCAACACCAGTGTGGGGCAAGAGGACAGGGCCCAGAAATGTCCCGACCGGGAGCAAAGAGCAGGCGCAGGGGCACAGAAGACGCGGGCAAAGTTGCAGGGTGGTGCACGGACCGGGTTTTATGTCTGAGAGTCAAGCAGATGGGGCAAGATCACAAAAAGGCCAGATCGCAAAGGTCATTTGCACAATATGCTAAGACCCTGGACTTCGTTATGAAAGCAACACTTAAACCCTGCACAGCTTTAAGAAGGGAAGCCGTCTAGGGCAGAGACAACACCATTCAGGTCGGAGTCAAAGCCTGAAATATGACCGCGGCCACGGGGGGAGGGGCAGGGGTCCGACCAGAAGGGACAGAACCTGACGACCCGCCAGCTGCAGAGGACAGCCGCGAGGACGGGGCGTCCAGGGAAGCTGCCTCGCCTTCGCTGAGGGCCATCGGGTGGACAGGGATGCCACCAACAAGAACGAGGGACAGGAAGGCCGAAGGAAGCAGAGCTCAGGCTGCGCTTCAAGAGACTTGGGCCACGTGGAATTAAGAGGCCAGAGAGCGAGCCGGAAGGGAGTAACACCGAGCTGCCCTGTTCCAGAGGGAACCCTCCCTTTCCAGTTCACCCCGGGAATCTGTCCAGCCCCAGTTCTTCTTGAAGATCCAGTTTTTTAAGGAGCATACGGTAGCTTAATTCAGAAACCAGGAAGCATAAAAAGGGACACAGCTGCAGGTTTCCTTCCACCCCTCACCCTTGCCTCCTCCCCCCCCCCCCAACCCGGGACTCCCCACTACTCCCAGCCAGGACAGGCGACCTGTTCGGCTTTATACAGATAGAAGCAGATAAAAATGCAGATTCTTCCCGCGTTCTTCTCCCTCCTCCTTTTTATGCACAAAAAGGCAGCCCTCTGTCCACTCTTCTGAACTGTGGTCTTTTGATGAATATGCCGTTGGACACTCACTCACGGCTTCACAGACGGTACCTGCATTTGTTTTTCCGGCTGTCTAGGATTCTACCGTGTTGACACACTTTTCAGTCCCTCCTGATGAGCACACGGGTTGATTCTAACGCTGTGCACAGAACCTCGTAGTGGCATTTAATTCAGCCACAAGTGTATCTGTAGAATAAATTCCCCGAAGGGAAACTTCTAGGCCAAAGACTCTCTCCCGGCCCCATTTTCCAGACCACGCTTCGTTACTCTTTGCTGGGCTGGTCGAACCACATTCTGAAATACGTTAAGCTTCACTTAGGGTCATCTGTTTCGGTGATACGCCGCCGTGTGCTTGAACTGAACACGTCTGCCCCCTCAGGACTTTGTCCCGTTCCCGCTGTCCAGCACGCTGGTCACATGGAGGTGGCTCTCCACATGGACAAGGGCAGTGAAGATGATCCCGTGCCAACAACTGACAGCTCCCCTTCCTCAGACTGTTTGGACCTTAGTGAGACGTGAGACACTTCACATTCGTCATCCTCTTAAAACTGGAAGAAGTGAACTCAGATCATTAGAAAACCTCACTGCTCAAGGAGCTGTCTCATAGAACACACTTGGGATACCAAATTCTAACATCTGCAGGACGTGCCAAACAGCTGTTTTTCGACGTGGTCTCCTGGATGTAGCTCTGGGGATCTATAAAGTCGTTACTCTTTTTCCAATGAAAACTCCGTGTTTTCACGGAACATTTTGTCCAGTGGTTCTCAAAGTGTGGGTGCCAGACCAACGGCATCAACATCACCTGAGCCTTTGCTAGAAATGCAAGTTCTCAGGCCCCACCCCATGTCTACTGAATCAGAAATTCCAGGGTGGGATCCAATACTATGTGTTTTTCCTTAACAAGCTCTCCAGGTGATTCTCACGCTCCCTATATTTGAGACCCGCTACTTTAAAGAAGCCGATTTAAAAGACAAGCAACACCTCCACCCTTTTCAGAGATAATCAGCAACTCCAAGGAAAATACAATTAAGCCTGGTATGGGAGAGGTGAAGCGGCTCGATCTGAAGAAATACAAGATCAGCTATTAAAAGCTCTACTCCTTTATGCTTCTGTCTCTTCTCCCAGCAGCTTATTGGTTCATAAAGACCCTGTTCAGTGCAGGGCCAAGAATCTGCCAGGGAACCATGACCCCATCTAGTCCGAGCGGAGTGTTTCTCGAGGAGGGTGTCCCACTTAGTACACACGTTAAAGGGAGGAGAGAGGATGCCAACTTAAGAGGACTTCAGACAGACTCATTCCTGAAGTTCTCACGAGTGACCCACACACCCCTCCTCTCTTCCACACGTTCGAAACCCAGGCTCCTCTTGTACCAGGAAGTGCAAATGAAGGACACTGCACATCCCTGGCCTCACGAGTTAACAATCTACTTTCTTACCAAGTCTGTATGCCAAAAGCAACCTCTTTAAAGGCCATAAGACTGTTCTCTACTTACACAAATGGCTTTTCCCCAGTGTGAATCAGGACGTGGCGGGTCAGATGGTAGTCCCTGACGAAGGCTTTGCCACACCCTTCACGGTCACAAACAAACGGTCTCTAGCAGGAAGGCAAGAAAAAAACATGTCACTCCTGCCCCAGTCAGTATCTCTGGTACCATTTAAAGACCTAAAACGTGTAGGGGACATTTTAGCCAGGCAGGGACTCTGCCTCCAAGGATGGTTTCCACTGAGTTACACAAAGGCCACAACTGCCTCCCGAAGTTGGTGCAGCAGATCCTGCCCTGTCAGTCACACGCGAACTTAGCGGGTGGCCTTCACGGTAACAGCACCGTTCACGTGCTCCCAACCCGACAGCGAGCGTCCACAGCAAGCCCCTTACAGATGACTTGTGTGCTGTTAGCGTTGGCCGATGTGCACAGATCGCCACCACTGCATGCTTTTATCCGCTGAAAGCCTACGGCAGAGGAAGGTGCGGGTTCCCTCTCATCCCGGACAATCCCAGGGTCTGTGCTAAGAGAAGGCCTGACACACCCATAGGAAAACGCTCGCAGCCTCACTGCGACCGCCGCTTGGGACCCAGGAGGTGGGAGGAGGGGGTCTCCATTCTGAACCTACAGGAAAAGTCGAAACACATCCCCCAAATAACCAGTGTGGTTTATTTACCTATGAAAAACATAGCCCCATGGCAGTCCAGGGGGGAGGTACCGAGGCCTCAAATGTCAGTGCTAGTAACAAAGCAAGTAGACCGGAAGACAGAAGAACTGAATTACCAGGGGAAGATCCACAGAATTTTGCACAATATTTGCCATTCTTTTTGTTGTCGTTTTTGTTTTAAAGAAAGTGCAATTCATTGAGAGAGGCGCAGCTGAGGGAGGGGGGTGCAGGGCTACCGCTCCCATGCCCCGAGGACACAATCTGTCCTTCCCCTGGGCCATGGCTCTGGGGGCAACCCACAGAGGGGACAGGAGGCTCACGCTGCCCCAGGGTTTCTCAGAGAGGGACATAAAAGTGACCACGTGCTTCTCTCCCTGGACATACTGGTTTCAGAACCCAGAAGCTGAGGGGCAGAATGGGCAAGAGAAAGGACAGGAAGGAGAACACAGCGGCTGCTCCGAGGGGAGCCAGTCACTGGGCAAGACTGCCACGACAGCTGGTGGCACGGGTAAAGTCCGGGACAGAAAGGAGCAGTGCAAACGGTCCGCGTAGAAAAGAGCTGGAGGAAATGGTCAACCTTCCAATGGCAGAGAGGGTAGGGAGCCATGAGGTCACACGAAGGAACGGCCCGGAAGTTAGGTAGGTTTGGGAGCAAAGGCGGGGGCTGCGGGTCCCTGGATTAAGAAGTAAAGGGCTTTAGCTGAGGCAGTGTCAGCTGGGAACTGACACTGGGAAACTGGGCAGGTTCCCTGGCCTCCATGAGCTTCCCTTTCCCCAACTGCCATCTTCCAAAGGCTTCCTACTGCCCTCAAAAGAAAACCCAAACTCCAAACCCTATTTGCACCCTGGCCTACAAATGATCCCACCACACCTGCTTCTCCGACCTCCTCTTATACGGCCCCCAACTCGATCACAATCACAGGTCCTTTTGCAGTTTCTTTCCACCAGGACTGTTTTCCCTTGTGTCTTCCCGGTTGGATCCCTTCCTTCTCATTCAGGTCAAAAGAGACCTTTCCTGACCATCCTCCAGGAGCCCTCAATTTACTGCGTCTCATTCCTACTTACTCCTTTGTCCCCATTCAAGGACAAGGTCGGTGACAGCAGGAGCCTTTTGTTTTGTCGACTACTCCCATCAGAGCTAAAAAGGTACTGAATTGTGAAGGAATGAACGCATGCTGCTTGCAGAACCTCCAGTACTAAGACGTTACCCGCCCCCCCCCCCCCCCCCCCCCCCCGCTCCCCGTTCCAGTTCCAGGAGGCCAGGGATTAAGGCAGGTGTCTGCTGGGGGTCGAGGGCGTAGAAAGCATGCGAGTAAATGAATCCTTCCTCTGCACCTATTTACAGATTATCAGGAGACGGTGACGGACCAAGCCTCAAGATCAAACGAGAAGCAGCGGCTCAGGGTGCTTGGAGCCCATGGCAAGGCTGTCTTTGGGTCTCAGAACTTGTCTACCTCTCCTCGGCTCCTCCCTAACCTAAGGCAGAGCTGGTTCGCCTCTGTGATCCAGGCTGCCAAGACTGCATAGGTCTCGCACAGGCTTGTGCAGCCACACGCTGCCCCGGGGCCTCTGGGACACAGCTCAGCTGGCGGGCCACCCCATCCCGAGTCCCCGGGCCCGGACGCCACACCCCTCCGTGGCCGGGCCGGCGGCCCCGTTACCTCCCCCGTGTGCTTGCACAGGTGCGCGTCTAGCTTCCACGCCTTGTTGTAATTGGCGTTGCAGTCGGGGAAGGAACAGATGAACCTCCTACTGAGCGCGGAGGGCGGCGGGGCGGGGCTCTCGCCCGCCGCGGTGAAGGCGTCGGCGATGGTCAGGGATGACACCGCCTCGGCGACCGAGGCCTGCGGCTCCAGGACGCCTCAGCGGGCGCTCAGCCACGTGCCGAGCCACGGGCGACGAACGGCTGCGCGCGGCCGCCGCCGGACCCCGCTCCTTCCACTCCCGGAGGCTCCCACGAGCGACCCCGCCGGACTTCCGGGAGCACGACCCCGGAGAGGCGGAACTGGAGCGCCGGCGCGCGCGCGCACAACATGCCCCGCCCCGCGCCGGCGCCGCATTTGCGCATGCTCCGGGGAGCCGCTCGCCGGCCGCGCCCACCCACTTTGGGTGGAGCTTGCTCGCGGTACCTGCGGCCGCGGCTTCCACTTCCCCAGCGAGAGGCGCTTTTCCCTGATGGGCTCTAAGGGGCCCGCTTCCCCAGCGCCCCTGATTTGTGACCTGTTTTCCGCCCGCCACCACTCTCTATAAAGCATAACTTAAATTACATTATTAGTTTGTCTTTTTTATGGATAGATTTCCTGGCATGCTTTCTACTTGGTTCCAAAAGTTGTCGGCACGTTTAGAATCTCTTACAAATTGTGAGCCCAGAACATACCCCGGACCAACTAAGCCACAATTTTTGGAAACTCCCTAGGGATTCCGGTGTGCAGGAAATTTGGGGAACCAGTGCCCTGAGACCTTGCTGCTCCGAGTGTGGTTTGCGGACGGGCAGCATCATGAGAAATCAGAACCACAGACCTACTTGAATCAGCGCAATCTCCAGGGGGTGTGGTGCACGTTCAAATTTGAGAAGCGCCGTTTCAGAGGCTTGAGTGAATGGAGGTGTCTTGGTTTTACCAGGATCATTTGTTTAAGGATGTCCTTGGATGAGGGTAACAATGACAGGATGGATTGTCTGATGATCCACCGGGTGTGGCTTGTTCACATCTTGCATCATTCCAAATCGTTAAGCGGGTCCTTATCAGAAGGTGATGAACAGGTCTCTGCAGAGAAGCGCAGTTTTGAAAACAAGCCCGGGGCTTGCCGCCCAGCCCTGATCTGGAATCCTCACATCGTACTCGCTCCTGAGCTCAGTCGCGTCATCTGTACAGTGAAGATGATGATCATAACGCCTGTCTCAGAATGTCAAGAGGACTGTACCAGGGCGTCCGGGAAGTGGGTGCACCTGTTGCTTTTCTTGATTGCCGCTCTAGCCCCGCTCCATGGGACAAGGTCACACACATCCCTCGGTCTGACAACTCCCAGAGTCTCAAATGGTTTCCTTTGTGTTTAATCTGGCTTTCTGCTCCTACTGTGCATGGGCGTGGCAGGATACCTCCCTGAGCTCTTTGAATCTTTCTCGCCTTTCAAGTGGACTGTTAATTACCGCCGTTTTGGGAATGAATGACATTATATGAACCGACAGTTGCATTTGTTACATGCCCCTGTGCTAGCCCCGTTTACCACCAACTTTCAGTTCTCCCAACAGCACTGCATGTTAAGCAGCTACCAGGGTCCAGGCCATGCCTTTGTTTCTTCCGTCTCTTTCTTTCCTGTGAACAGATCCTTTGCTCCACCTCGTGCTCTCTGCAGTTTGCTCCCCAATGCGTTTTTTCCAATGTCCCACGTTTCTAAGTGACAAATGCACCTTTTTTAAAATTTTAACACCAAGCAAACAATCTTACCATCTCCTTCTGTTTACACCTCCTTCCCTCTCTCTCTCCCAGGCAACAGTAGTAGAATTCTGTCTCCCACTCATGAAATCTTAGAACAGTGGTTCTCGGGGTGCCTGAGTGGCTTAGTCAGTTACGTGTCTGACTTCGGCTCCAGTCATGATCTCACGGTTCACGCGTTCGAGCCCCGTGTCGGGCTCTGTGCTGACAGCTCAGAGCCTGGAGCTGCTTCGGATTCTGTCTCTTCCTCTCTCTCTCTCTCTCTGCCCCCCACCCCTTTCTCTCTCTCTCTTTCAAAAATAAATAAACATAAAAAAAATATATTTTTTAGAACAGTGGTTCTCAACCCTGGCTGCACGTTAGAGTCACCCAGGAGCTTTTGGAAATGATGACAGCTGGGGTCTCCGCCCACGCTTGTGAAATCAGAGCCCCAGGTCGTCCTCCTTTCTCCGCCCATCACTGGCCTGGCTGACTTATACACCTGTCCTATCCATTCCTCTTCTCATGCTCTGTCTAGCTTTTCTGTGCTCTGGACCTAGGCACCTTAAACCCCTTCTCATGAGGCTGCCAGCATCACCTCCCTAAAACATCTAAGATTTTATGGGTTTCAGTGTGCAAGACTGGTAATTGCAAAGCATTTTGAGTCCTCTTAGCTATTATGCCTGTAGTTCAAGTAACAGCACTCAGGTGGGAAATGGGGGCCCTGAGCTCAGCCCCCCGCCCCCCCGGCAGGCTCCTTCCTCCCTTGGACACAATTCTCAGCCCAGATAAGATCCTACTTCCTCTAGATAAGCCTTATTTAATAACTCAAGCCCCCACCCATATTTTCTGCCTTTGAACTTCTACAACCCTTTCCTTCTGTAGCACTGAGTAGACGGTTCTCGAATGTGCTGGGTTATCTTTAACTATTCAGGCATATAATTTCCTGTTACCCCATCTTGATTTAATCTCCATAAGGGCAGAGTCCGAATCATATTTTGAATATCCAGTGGCAAGGTGACTTGTGTGCCCTGGGTGCTAACATTATTTTACATAGCGAAGATTGGGGCTGGTGGCGAGTTGGTTGTTGTCCGACTCTCTGTTAGGTCATGACCACGGTTCTGAATGAGCCCCGCATCAGGCTCTGGGCTGATGGCTCAGAGCCTGATTCTACTCCAGGTTCCCCTCTCTGCCCTCCATGCTCTGTCTCTCTCTGTCCCCCAAAAAATAAATAAACGTCGAAAAAAAAAATTTTTTTTTAATAAAATAAATAAATAAATGGGCACAGCCATGAACCATTGTATGAAATCATTTTTTTTAATTTTTTTAATGCTTATTTATTTTTGAAATAGACAGAGCATGGGTAGGGGAGAGGCAGAGAGAGAAGGAGACACAGAATCCGAAGCAGGCTCCAGGCTCTGAGCTGTCAGCCCAGAGCCCGACGCGGGGCTCGAACCCACGAACCGCAAGATCATGACCTGAGCTGAAGCCAGACGCTCAACCGACGGAGCCACTCAGGCGCCCCAAAGTGAGATCTTAAAGGTCCGGCATGAACGTCTTCACCAAGGAATCTTTGTGCACAAGGAACATAATCCCACTCAAACTAATCTACGTGAAAAGAGATTTAGGGAAAGCGTTCAAGGGAATCTCTCCGCACTGACTGCAGAAAAAGGCCTAAGAATCACAGTCATCTGCAATCTGTTTCTCAGTCTGTCGCTCCTTGGGTCTGCTGTCCTCCTTAGCCTCTCTCCGGGCATCTGTTAGATTAGTCCGGGAAACTACTGGTTTCCCGTGGACGTGGGTGCCTGCGTGTGCACCTATGTATAAGTGTGCCCGTGTGTGCATGTTTTTTCCTGCCCCCTTTCTCTCCGAGGCTTCATGCCCTCACAGCCCCACGTCTCTGGGCTGCATGCCTCTTCACTCTTCTCTGCAGATCAGCTCTTCGATGAGACTCTGAGTTTCTGCCCCTGTAACTGGGGTTTTCCAAAGGCTTTGGCGCAACCCAAGCAGCCCCGACCTTACGTGGTCTGGCCCCTTCTCTCCCCACGGCTGCTCATTCCCAAAAGAGAAGCTCAGGCCCACCTGACGTTCAGGCTCTCTTCCCCAAGCCCAAACAGCGTCAGCCTGGAAGGGATGAGACTATGCCTCTTGTAGGTCAAGCCAAAAGGGTAGCAGAGACAGAATTCTGATATACCTGTCTTAGCTAGATGATTGCATTCACTGGCCCCAGCTTTTTCGCCACTCTTTGCCACGTGGCTTTGCTCCTCCCATGAAGGGGGCTGGAGACATTTTCTCTCTCCTCGACGCTAAGCTCAGCTGGGAGACTTGCTCTGGCCTTCTGAGAGTGACAGCGTGCGGGTTCCAAGCTTGGGCCACAAGAGAACTTGTGTGTGGCTGTCTCAGGCTTCTGCCATTGCCACAAAGGACGTTTCTGCTTGAGCCTGGCAAGGGAGAAGGGAGACGTGAGGAACAAAGCTGAGTCATCCCAGCTGAACCCAGCGTGGATCAGCCTACATCAGCTGACCCTCCGCCGGTCTATGCATCTTGGCCGTAAATGATTGCGAGCCACTGGGTCGTGGGATGAGTTATTAGGTAGCAATTTTGCGGCAATGGCTGAGTTGTACATTCTCTTCACGAGCGCTTTCCCTCCGCCAATCAACATGCTCCAGTATCTCATCTTGAAACCAAAACCAGGGCTCCTGGGTGGCTCAGTCGGTTAGGTGTCCGACTTCGGCTCAGGTCATGATCTTGCGGTTTGTGGGTTCGAGCCCCGTGTCGGGCTCTGGGCTGACAGCTCGGAGCCTGGAGCCTGCGTCCAATTCTGTGTCTCTGGCTCTCTCTGCCCCTCCCCTGCCCACACTCTGTCTCTCTCTCTCTCTCTCTCTCCCTTAAAATTAAATAAAACACTAAAAAAAAATTTTTTTTAAAACAACAAAACCAACCAACCGAACAAAATTCCTTTATGTCCTTATGCCTCTCCTAACCATTGCATGATTTCACTTCTTCCCTTCACAGCCAAGTTAAAGGAAGAGTCTGTGCCTTTCCTCCTCTTTCCCTGACCATCACCACCATCATCATTTTCTTCATCATCATCAAAATTACAAGCCTACATTAAAATAGAGTGAAGAGTACAGAGAACCCCAATGGACCTCATTTGTTGCCATTCTAACTGCCCCCAGCCCCAACCTCCCCCCTGCTTTTTTTTTTTTTTTTTTTTTTTGGCTAGAGTATTTTTTTTACTTTCTCTTTATTTTTTTATTTTTATGTGTGTGTTTATTTTTTAAGTTACATCCAAGTTAGTTAGCATACAGTGCTATAATGATCTCAGGAGTAGATTCCAGTGATTTGGGCCCTATGTATAACACCCAGTGCTCATCCCAAAAAGCGTCCTCCCTAATGCCCCTTACCCATTTAGCCCATCCCCCCCACCCACAACCCCTCCAGCATCCCTCAGTTTGTTCTCTGTATTTAAGAGTCTGCTGGAGTATTTTTTTAAGTGTATTCATTTATTTTGAGAGAGAGAGAGAGAGAGAGAGCAGGGGAGGGGCAGAGAGAGAGGGTAAGAGAGAGAATCCCAAGCAGGCTCCACAGGGTTAGCACAGATCCCCACGTGGGGCTCAGTCTCACAACCGTGAGATCACGACCTGAGCCAAAA